CCATCAGACTTGGGTTATGGAGCGTCAGGTGCACCTCCAAAGATCCCAGCTCACGCTACGCTTGTTTTCGAGGTCGAACTTGTCAAGATTGAGAGAAAAGAAGAACTCTGAAAGATGTGAAAGGGGACATTTTCTAAATAATTCTCTAGTGTCTGTTAGATAATTTTTTATCATCAAATATATTGTACAGTATTATATACTATACTAATTTTGTTTATTAAAGAGTACGCTCTCCAAGCTTGTGTTTTATATATCAGTATTTAATATGAAATTCTGCTACATTATCATTGTCATTTGATGTAATACATTCATGTTTTCAGACTGGGGTTTATATTCAATTTTGTATTTTTATTTATTTTTTATTAGCACATCGGCTGATTCCCACCAAGGCAGGGCGGCCTGAAAAGGAAAACTTTAATCATCATCATTCACTCCATCACTGTCTGGCCAGAGTTGTGCTTTACACTAGTTATAAAACTGCAACATTGACACCTCTCCTTCAGAGTGTCAGCACTGTATTTATCAATTATAAAATGTTATAAGATTAGAAAGTTCTGATATCCTTGTCTCAACTCTACACACTTGCTGTATCATTTATGAAATAAATTTAAGGAATGTACAGCATTTCCTTTTATTAACATGAAACCCAATATTATTATTACAATCAGAACTAAGCACTGAACCCATAGGGGTCGTACAGTGTGAAACCCAGTAACGTTTGTTATACTAAACACAGTTTACTATAGTTGACTAAATCATTACAGTATTTTAATATTCATGTGGAAAGTGCTTAACCTGTAAGGGTCATATTAATGGAAAGTGCTAAACTCATGAAGGTCAGAGTGCTGGTCAACAGAGCCCCATCATGACTCACGAAATCACAATGACATGATTGCAATCAAACCACTCGCTATAAGTTCAATCCCTGCCTATGGTACGGTCTGTTCAACAGAGGGTGGAAATAGAACGGCGCCAACAGTTGATGAAACAAACTGGTCAGGCCGTCAGTGTGTCTCAGGTGGGTCTATCAGGAAGGTAGACAACATTACATTATTATAATAATCAAGGGGAAGCGCTAAACCTGAAGGATTATACAGTGCCTGTGGGGGAGATGTGGAAAGTATTCAGGGAACTGGAACACAGATCCAGTTCCCCAGATCAAGAGCCCCTCACCAGCATCAAGGCACCTTCCTTGAGGGGTGACAACATTACACTGGAGCAATGATATCTATCAGATTTCTTGGAACATTGGAAACCTTTGTTATTTGGAAATGATTGGTTTATTTTGGATGAAGAAACTATTTCTTTTCAGCACTTCCTTTTGATTGTAATAATAATAACTATTTCCCTGGGACAAAAGGCCATCGTCAGCATCAAGGCATCTCCCTCGAGGGGTTTAAATAACTCTTGATTATTACAACAATCCGAGCTGAGCACTAAACTGCACGATAATATGTGCTAAAGATGTAATATGCCAGATCCGAGACTAGCGAGGGTGAAGAGGACGCCAAAGGCAGAGTCAGTAAGGGCAGTGAGTGCTAATGGGAAGGTATAATCAAAGTAGTAAAACTGTCACTGACAAAAAGTCAGAGAAGGAATGTGTCGAAGGTGAAGCCGTCAGCGAAAAGGATAATAACTCTGATAACATGCTGGGGCCCAATACCAATCCTGTGGGAATTTGTGCATGGGTTAATTATTGTAATCAAAAAGAAGTGCTAAACCCATTAGGGTCATACAGCATGTGCATGGGTTAAGCCATACTACCACCTGTACCAGTACCCCAGCTTGCTTTTCCAGTTCAGAGAATAGCTTTCTGTATAGCAATATGTCAATAGCTACCTTATATTCTAGGAATATTTAATTCATCCATCCTACTCTCATCTCTGACCTCCATCACACAGGTGCTCCATCACACAGGTGCCACTAGTATGTTTATACAGTCATCCCAAAAAACTTTTGTGCTTCCATGTTTGTGGATTTCCATTATCAAAATTGTTTACTGAAAGGCAACTAGAAAATAAATTTGATTATCCAAACTTTTTTCTTGACTCAGTGGCTTTCTCGTGCCCAAATCTCCCGTGGTCTTCGTCTTATGTATGTCAATATTAACTAGATTAGTTAATAGAGATATGGTTATTGAGGGGAATGTATGAGAGTATAGTTTTACCAACGCTCTTATATGGGTGTGAAGCATGGGTGATGAATGTTGCAGCGAGGAGAAGGCTGGAGGCAGTGGAGATGTCATGTCTGAGGGCAATGTGTGGTGTGAATATAATGCAGAGAATTCGTAGTTTGGAAGTTAGGAGGAGGTGCGGGATTACCAAAACTGTTGTCCAGAGGGCTGAGGAAGGGTTGTTGAGGTGGTTCGGACATGTAGAGAGAATGGAGCAAAACAGAATGACTTCAAGAGTGTATCAGTCTGTAGTGGAAGGAAGGCGGGGTAGGGTCGGCCTAGGAAAGGTTGGAGAGAGGGGGTAAAGGAGGTTTTGTGTGCGAGGGGCTTGGACTTCCAGCAGGCATGCGTGAGCGTGTTTGATAGGAGTGAATGGAGACAAATGGTTTTTAATACTTGATGTGCTGTTGGAGTGTGAGCAAAGTAACATTTATGAAGGGGTTCAGGGAAACCGGCAGGCCGGACTCGAGTCCTGGAGATGGGAAGTACAGTGCCTGCACTCTGAAGGAGGGGTGTTAATGTTGCAGGTTAAAAACTGTAGTGTAAAGCACCCTTCTGGCAAGACAGTGATGGAGTGAATGATGGTGAAAGTTTTTCTTTTTCGGGCCACCCTGCCTTGGTGGGAATCGGCCAGTGTAAAAAAAAAAAAAAAAAAAAAAAAAAAAAGTCGGCCGTCTCCCACCAAGGCAGGGTGACCCAAAAAGAAAGAAAATCCCCAAAAAGAAAATACTTTCATCATCATTCAACACTTTCACCACACTCGCACATTATCACTGTTTTTGCAGAGGTGCTCAGAATACAACAGTTTAGAAGCATATACGTATAGAGATACACAACATATCCCTCCAAACTGCTAATATTATTATTATAATCAAGGGGGAGCACTAAACCCATAGGATTATACAGCGCCTGAGGGGAGATGTGGAAGGCATTCAGGCTTAATTCGGGGAACTGGAGCACAGATCCAATTCCCTAAACCAAGAGCCCCTCACCAACATCAAGGAACCTTCCTTGAGGGGTTATTGAATCGAGTCTGAAGCTAACTTTATTATGCAAAATGCAAACCTTTGTATTTATGATTTCTAGTTTTATTTCGTAATTTATGACTTTTTTTTTCCTACACGTTGGCTATCTGCCGCCGAGGCGCAGTGGTGACCCAAAAAAGAAACACATTTTCACCATCATTCACACATCTGAACTGTCATGTCTGGGCACCTCTGTAAAGACAGTGATTTTGTGTGAATCACTGTCTTTAGAGGTGCCAAAACATGAGAGTTTAGATGTCACTCCAAACAGCTAATATCCTGTCATTTATGCAATGGTATTAAATTTGTCACTGTCCAGTCATATGGCAATTCAGCTGTCCATTAGTGGTTACATTTTTAATGGAATGATTTTCTGGAACATATTTATGAAAAGAGATACACCTACCATCCGACTTACGACCTGCTCGACTTACGACCGTGTTTTTTATGCCAAATTTCTAGGAAATAAACAACTATTTGTGTTGTACACAGTGTTTATCCTAAACCTTACAGTATAAAATACAGTACTAACAACATAAAAAGTAAAGTAAAAAATGAAATACCAAAATAAAACAATAAAATAAAGTCATTACAAAAATGTTTTGTTGATATTCATTAGTAAAGTTCGACTTGCGACCATTTCGACTTACGACCAGTTTCTCGGAACCGAACTTGGTCGTAAGTCGGATGTTAGGTGTACTACCTTTGGTTTATAGACATTACTTGTCGAGTTGCAAGTACTGCACTTTATTATGGAGTTGCAATTATGACATTGCATTTAAGCACATGTAAGGAATTTACATCTCTATTATATACATGGAGTGCTAAACCTGTAGGGGCCATAGTGTGCCTGGGGGAATGGAATACAATCATGCTTGATTCCAGGAACTGACAGTTCCAATACCTTAGATCAAGAGCCCCTCACCAGCATCAAGGAACCTTAGCTCCCTCAAGGGAACTTGCATCTCAAGACATGTACTGTAGACAATGGAGTAACCATTACTGTCAGCCAGAAAGCAGCAATTGAACAAGAATGGTATACAATACCGACAAGATGAAATTAAGACACGTGCAACATCTGGATGGCGAAACGTCTACAATAAAGATACCCAGATGTTGCACGTCTTAATTTCAGCAGTAATTGATACATTTTCTTCCTTTGAAACTGTTACAATATTTTTTTTTGAATATGTAGGCCGTTTCCCACCAAGACAGTGTGACCCAAAAAGAAATAAAAACCCAAAAGGAACAAAGAAACTTTCATCATCAGTCAACACTGTCACCATCATTACATAATCATTGTCTTTGTTACGATGTGTCATAACTTTCGAAGAATTGTCCTCTTCAGGTAGAATATGCAACTTTTAAGTACAGTGGACCCCCGCTTAACGATCACCTCCAAATGCGACCAATTATGTAAGTGTATTTATGTAAGTGCGTTTGTTACGTGTATGTTTGGGGGTCTGAAATGGACTAATCTACTTCACAATATTTCTTATGGGAACAAATTCGGTCAGTACTGGCACCTGAACATACTACTGGAATGAAAAAAGTTCGTTAACCGGGGGTCCACTGTATATCTTCTTTCAACAAACCGGCCGTATCCCACCAAGGCAGGGTGGCCCAAAAAGAAAAACAAAAGTTTCTCTTTCTAAATTTAGTAATTTATATAGGAGAAGGGGTTACTAGCCCCTTGCTCCCGGCATTTTAGTCGCCTCTTACAACACGCATGGCTTACGGAGGAAGAATTCTGTTCCATTTCTTTGTAATCTTGCATATTTTAAGGAAACAAAAATTCCCTATTTACAAAAGGCATCTGTTTATTAGAAGCATAAAATTTACAACTGTGTATGGAGCAAATTAAATAAACAAAAATCTACAAATACAGTACGTTGTCGTAAATGGCTTTCAACGTCTTAATGACAAATACGATTTTTTCCAAAAACTGGAAAATAATAATACATATATCACTAAGAAAATTGTAGTCACAAGTGCATATCATACCACACTATGTAAAAACATGGCAGTGAATGGTAAAATGGGAGGATAAACCTCCTATGTGATGTATGAAATGGTAGGTAAATTATCAAAATATAAGACCTTCTCTATTTACAATTCATGACTACTGTTTCCAGTAAAAATTTCACGAACTTTGGTGAAAGTAAAGTTTGGCTTTATAAATGAAGCATTAGTAATTATGAAATCAAATGTTGATAATCCCAGTTAAGCAAATTTTTGAGTCCATAACTGACATGTTATTCTTCAGTTTACTAGAAATCTACGAAAGTTCATTTAATGCCAATTATGCTAACCCTGTAGTTCCTGAGAACTAGTTAATGATGGTCTTCATCTATGGTAGCCTAAGCTTTATTTCAAAATTCTGATTATGTTAAGAATAATGTCCTGTACCATAGCTCCCTCTTATCTAAGCTAGTTTCTATCATTACTATGCTAGTTTGGCCTCCTGACTTAACCAGTGCATGACATTACACACAATGAATTGAACCCAGTCAATATAGTTCAGGGTTCAAATTTGAGCTTTGAGATACAACTCGTCCTCTAGTAAAGTGTTCAAATTAATTCTGAAAGTATATTTTTACTACCAAATTATTACCCCAGTTTGTGAAATATATGCAGCATCACCCCAAGTGTTTTATATCATGATGTGATACTAATTTCAATAAAATTACCATAATATTCCATACTTGAGCAAATAAACATTAGTTTACCATTACAATACTCCAACAAAAAATCTTCATATATTTTTTTTAATAATTTGATACATTATTATAAGATGGATCTGGTAACTAAAATTTTCCCCGAGCCATTATAAGACTTGGAGCTTTTAAAAATACATTTAAAAATATTGCAACAAATAGTAATATCCTACAAATAATTATAAATTCATAATTCACGCCATATACCAACACATCTCTGCGCTATTTACTGCCGGATAGGTTTGAGCTTCTCCCAGCAGAGCGGATCAAAACTGACGACCCATAAGGTGGACATTCAGACTATGGAACAATAGATCACTGATCTTTGAACTGCTACATGTATGTACTAATTTTAATAAAAATAGTAAAATTGCTTCAGAATTTTGGTGAAATTCTGCACGACTGCAGAGAAAAAAAAAAAGACTGGCTGTCAAGTTACAGCATAAATCAGTACTCCATTGAATTCATGTGAAGCAAATTATATTCTTTAAACTCATGTGATGCAAATTATGCTCTTTAAAAATATTTCCTGACAGGAAAACTATATTATGATGTGAAAACTAAGACAAAATTTCAGTAATCAGCAGACACTGTACTTAAGAAATTCAATGAAAATGTCAGTAATGCCTGTATATACAGTGCAATTCCATTAACCTGTATATACAAAAACTTGAGAAAAACATCTATAATACATCTGATGAACATTTAAATAGGAACATGGTAAAATCTGTACTTTAAGCATAAACAAAGCACAAAATTACTGAAAAAGCAATTTTACATGCCTTTGGTGGACCATGAGATTTTGATAATACTGACTACACATAAGAGCACTATCATTTGCAGCGATACTCTCCATTAAGAGCACAGTGAGACTGTGCCGGCAACGTAAAAATGTACTCAATATACCAGCAATTACTGGAAGTGATGACTGACCTTGCGTATCAATCACACTGCCGACGAAAATTGTATGAAACGGGTAACCTTCCAGGGCTTCCCCTTATTTATGTTGAAAATGGTAAGAAACACATGACTTGTCGCAGCATCAATCTCGGTTAAACTGAAAATATTAAGAAACCTGTAACTTGCCAGATCATCGATGTCAGTAATGAAAATAAATAAACTTTAGGATCATTTAACATGTCAAGGAGCAGTTAAATCATCATATTAACTTTAGGACATTTGCATACAAAATAAAGGAGCCTTAGATGAATAGGAATAAATATAAACAAGGCCCCAAGGGAAATCATGAGGAATGACAACAATAACCCAACTATAACTATGTTGAGCAGTCGCATGATAATTTCATGTTAAGAAATAACATTCACAGAAAAATGTACACAAGTCTGACCAAGGTGATTAAGTTATCAATATATTAAGGGAATTTGCCTCTAGGTCTTTTTACTAATTATAATTAATCATTAAAATACACTTTTCCTCAAGATTCCACTCTGGTTTCATTTTGTCCCACCTGTGTCCCAGTCTTATCGTCTTTCGTTATTGACGTTTCCTTTTTGTCGTCCCCAGCTCCATTGTTAGCAGCCTCATCCGTCTTGGTCTTCTTCTTCGGCTTGAACGATCTTTCGTCTCTACGGCCATCGCCCTCGTCTTCAGAATCAGAGTATTCATTATCAGGAGCAATTCGTTTGTCAGAAGCTCGAATAGAAATTCTTTCGTCTGGACTGGCCTTATCTTCATCTTCGCTTTCTTCTGCTACACCATCCTCTGGAATAGCTGGAAAAGACAATACAAAATTAACAAACTTCTCTTCACATATTCTATTCCTTTCAAGAACTTTGGCAATCAATTTTTTTCAGTAGCCCAGTGAACAAATTCATCCCTATTTAAATCCTACACACTTCTGCCATCAGTTCAAAAGATAGAGGAAACAGCAACAGTAGATTAAAAATTATTAATAAGATATAATGCCTCATCCAAGATCAAACCACAGAACTATGACCCTGTACAGTGGATCTTGTATGCAAAATAGTCAGGTTCGAGTACTCTGTACTCCTCAAGAGTCCTGATACTGATGGGCTTTTGACCCAGGGAATGGGATTAGTCTCCCCCTTCCTTGGATCAAATATGACAGCCTCCTATCCCTCAAGCACTGTATGACCCCTATGGGTTTATTACTTCCCCTAATAACAATAATAATAATGTCAAAACCACCTTATCAACCTCTCTTCAGCCCTCTGCCTAATAAATACCTTTAGTAACCTCACACCTCCTAATCTCGAAGCTACAAATTCTCTGCATAATATTCACACCACACATTGCTCTCAGACAACATCGCTGCCTCCAGCCTTCTCCCTGCTGCGACATTCACATCCCACGCTTCAAACCCACGTAAGTGCTGGTACCACTATACTCTCATACATTCCCTTTTTTTGCCTGCAAGGATAATGCTTTTCATCTTCATAGATGCCACAGTGAAGCACCCACCTTTTCTTCTAGTCAATTCTATGGTTCATCACGTCTTTCACAGACCCTGAACAAGGTACTGTCAGGCTAAAAGACAATAAAATCTACTAAGCACCTGAGATAGTAGTGTATTGAATTTCTAAACAGAAGATAAGGCACTGATTACATCCATTAGTTTTTAAAGCCAAGAGGCAATGTAATGTGATCGTGCACGTGAAAAATAAGCATTATATTAACCCTTAAATGGTCCAAACGTATATATACGTTCACTCGCGTAGCGCCCCAAATTTTTTGAGGAAAAAAAAAATCTTTTCTTTTAAAAGGAAAAAAAGAGCATATGGTACCCAGGCATCCCCAATTATTTTAATATGAACACAGTGAGTGCGCACACCCATTCTCTCATGTCTAGGTGACTCAGGCTTATTGTGGCAATGTTGAATGAATGACAAAGAAAATGTATATATACGTTTGGGGGGCTACGCGCATGAACGTATGCATACGTTTGGACCGTTTAAGGGTTAAGAGTGACTTACCAATACTCTGGACTCCAGGTGCATGTGGCAGCATCCGCAAGTTTTCAAATAACCTCGTTTTAATCTTGTCTAAATATTCAGGTGTGTTTTGGTTAGCCATGTTGGAGGGACTGATGTGCAACTTAAAGTCAGGTCCAAAATATTCAAAGTAGTCATTGTATGGAAGCTCATTAGCAATATCTGTACTTAATGCAACAGCAGTTTCATATGTCCAACACCTTGCAACATTACGAATTGTATAGCCACCTCCACCCAAGAGCAGCAGAGGTAGATTGTACTTCTTGACAAACTCCACACATTTTGCATGGCCTAAAGAAAGGAAAAATCTAAATAAATTATTTGAAATAAACAATATACGTACAGGTCTCCCTCAACATTCACGTTTTCAGCTTTCGTGGGCTTCACACATTCGCGAATTCCCAAACGCCAAATTCCCAGCCGCCAAATCATATTCAAGTTTCCCGCCACCTGCGAGTCCCTACTACCCTCCCACCGACCCCCGCAACTGGCAGCCAGCCCTCCCACCACTCAGTGTGGTGAGTGTTTTGTTTGTTCATTATTTGCTATTAAACTGCAGTATAAATAATGTAAACCCATTCATGACTGCATATTGGAATGGCTATTCGGACAGGTATTAGACGGTGACATCATGTGTTTAGTCTTGAACACAGCAAAGAATCAAACATTTCTGCTACTGCTAATAATAACAATAGTAATAATAATAATAATAATAATAATAATAATAATAAATACGATATAATTGAAGAAGGAAGTTGTACAAAAATATGAGGGAGTGGTTGACACATCGTCAAGTGTGGCTTTGTTCATGCTGGAGTGAGCATTAGTCTCCCTGCTCTTCTAAACATTTCACAATAATTCATTGTGTTTGGTACTTGTAAGATTGAGTGCGACTGGAGTGGTAGAGGCAGTGGTTGAGGCAGCTGTTGAGGCAGCTGTTGAGGCAGCGATTGAGGCAGCTGTTGAGGCAGCGATTGTGGCAGTGGGCGAGGCAGCTGTTGAGGCAGCTGTTGAGGCAGTGGTTGAGGCAGCTATTGAGGCAGTGGGTGAGGCAGCTGTTGAGGCAGCTGTTGAGGCAGCGATTGTGGCAGTGGGTGAGGCAGCTGTTGAGGCAGCTGTTGAGGCAGCTGTTGAGGCAGCTGTTGAGGCAGTGGTTGAGGCAGCTATTGAGGCAGTGGGTGAGGCAGCTGTTGAGGCAGCGATTGAGGCAGTGGGTGAGGCAGCTGTTGAGGCAGCGATTGAGGCAGCTGTTGAGGCAGCTGTTGAGGCAGCTGTTGAGGCAGCGATTGAGGCAGCGATTGAGGCAGTGGGTGAGGCAGCTGTTGAGGAAGCGATTGAGGCAGCGGTTGAGGCAGCGGTTGAGGCAGCTGTTGAGGCAGCTGTTGAGGCAGCTGTTGAGGCAGCTGTTGAGGCAGCGACTGAGGCAGTGGGTGAGGAAGCGATTGAGGCAGTGGCATTTAATAACATACATGTTATTAATAATAATAATACATGTTATTAATATGTACTATTATTATTTATAACATATATGTTATTAAATACCACTGCCTCAACGCTGAATTACTGTGAAATTTTTGGAAGAGCAGGGAGACTAATGTTCACTCCAGCATAAACAAAGCCACACTGACGATGTGTCAACCACTCCCTCGTATTTTTGTACAATTTCCTTCTTCAATTATATTGTATTATTATTATTATTATTATACTATTTGTTATTATTAGCAGTAGCATAAAGTTTGATTCTTTGCTGTGTTCAAGACTAAACACATGATGTCACCGTCTAATACCTGTCCGAATAGCCATTCCAATATGCAGTCATGAATGTGTTTACATTATTTATACTGTAGTTTAATAGCAAATAATGAACAAACAAAACACTCACCACACTGAGTGGTGGGAGGGCTGGCTGCCAGTTGCGGGGGTCGGTGGGAGGGTAGTAGGGACTCGCAGTGGTGGAGGCAGTGGTGGAGTCTGTGGTATTTAATAACATACATGTTATTAAAGCATAACATGTATATATTTAGTACAATTTACGATGTTTTCATGTATTTTATGATTGTTCATGGTTCAACAAGTTAAGGAGGCAGTATTGTATTATATTTCCCTACAATATATTGGGGCACCAAACATTCACGGTTTTTCAACATTTGCGAGGCTCTTGATCCCCTAACCCTCGCGAATGTTGAGGGAGACCTGTACTATGAAACAGGAATATCTGGACAAGTTAATGGTTAAAAAAAATGGCACATATATGTGCTCCTCGACTCACGATGGTTTGACTATGATGGTGCAAAAGCAATTACTTTTGAGATGTAACTTGAGATAATTACTGAGCATGAAGGCAGCAAGTCCCTAACTTTTATTCATTAATTTACTTTTCAGTACTCGTATTTAGTTACAGCAATTATTTGTTTATTTACTTAGTGACATTAATTTATTTAGCATATCGTATGAATATTTGACTTACGATATTTTTGACTTAAAGAGTTTGTCAGAACGTAGCTTCATCATAAGTCAAGGAGCACCTGTATAGTTCAATGTGGAAAATTGCAGTATTTATCCTTGGGAGTGAAAATAAGCCTCACACTTACAAACTAGAGGATATAGAACTTCTTCATACAGAATGTGACAAGGACCTGGAGTCATGTTAAACAGAAATCCAAAGCGAAGACAGCAGTGCCTAAGCATGCACAATAAGGCGTACAGACTTCTTGTATTTATATCAATAAGTTGACAAGTAACAGGAGCCCAAAAAGTATTTTACAGCTACTTCTTCCAACAAATTAGCCACATCCCACCAAAGTAAGGTGACCCAAAAGGAAAAATTAAATTCTCTCTCCTTTTCAATTTAGTAATACACACAGGAGAATGGGTTACTAGCCTCTTGCTCCGGCAGTCTAGTCACTTCTTACAACACTCATGGCTTACGGAGGAAGAATTTTTTCTACTTTCCAATGGAGACTACAGAATTTATATAAAGTGAATAAAGCACTGGAGAACATACAAAGAATGATGAGAAAATTAATTCACTTTACAAGGTATCTTACATATGAAAATAGAGCACCAAACCTGTGAGAGGCCTGATCATGGACTGGGATGCAGGGGTGCTGACCCCTGGAATACCCTCCAGGTATACTCCAGGTAACCTACACTCTTGAAATTGTGTAGGATTAGCGGTATCAATATATATAAAAGAAAGACAGGTTTAAACAAGAGAGAAATAGGGCACCAAGAAATGCCTAGACAGGAAACAACTCAGAACAATGAACTCAAGCTGGATAAATTTAGATTTAGAAAGGATGTAGGAAAGTACTACATTATTTAGCAATAGATCTGAGCACCTCTGCAAAAACAGTGATAATGTGCGAGTGTGGTGAAAGTGTTGAATGATGATGAAAGTATTTTCTTTTTGGGGATTTTCTTTCTTTTTTGGGTCACCCTGCCTCGGTGGGAGACGGCCGACTTGTTGAAGAAGAAAAAAAAAAAAAAAAAAAAAAAAAAAAAGATGTGTTGACAAGCAGAATAATCTAAGTGATCAGCGAAGCTGGTACTACTTACCCGTTAAAATTAGTGGGAGAATTAATGCACAAGAGGCAAATTATGCTCATATATTACAACAATGTCTGAATACAACAGATGATGCACTGGCTGAGGTTGTGACAGGTGATGTTCACCTTAAAACCTAAACTGATTAACCTGCTACACTGTACCGTACTTCGCTTTGAGGCATTGTCAAGATATTCCAACTGCAAATTAATGAGTCTAAAAAAAGTCACTGAAGTGTTTTTGACATATAGCCTCTCCTCACTTAACGACAGAGTTTCGTTCCTAAGACCACATTCGTAAACAAATTTGTCACTAAGTGAGAAGCATACTACAGTGGACCCCCGGTTTACGATATTATTTCATTCCAGAAGTATGTTCAGGTGCCAGTACTGAACGAATTTGTTCCCATAAGGAATATTGTGAAGTAGATTAGTCCATTTCAGACCCCCAAACATACACGTACAAACACACTTACATAATTGGTCGCATTGGGAGGTGATCGTAAAGCGGGGGTCCACTGTATAATGGTAGTGGGTTTGTGTCAACCATCTTTGATATTGTTTTAATATCACCTTTGTGCCATTTATATCATTTCTGATATATTTTTAAATGTTTATACAGTAGTGTACTTTATATTCTAATAAACAAATTACAGAAAATTAGGTCTAATATACATTATTTAGGTATGAATAATGGTCAGAGAGCCTGTCCTAAGTCCGAGTCATTGGTAAGCGAGTAAGTCGCTAATTGAGGAGAGGCTGCATTTAGTTTTCAACTTGGAAGAAAATGTCAAAGAGAATATGAACACAATGAAAGAAGCAAAGAATGGAAGACAACATTAGCTGTTACATGATAGGAATGTTCCCACCCTGTAAACACGTGTACCATATACATACATACAATGTACCATATACATACATACAATGCCTGTATTTCAATCTTTGATCACATCAATCTCACTTTAGATATAGTATGGTATGTATTACCCCAAAATAACATTTGCTAAATACACTTTTTTAAAGAATAGACAAATTTCTCTCAGTCATAAATATAACCACTACCACCCTATGTATGCATCAAGCTGAACTGCACATAATATATCAATGTCTCACAAATAGCACATGTCTGGTGGCTAGCTCAACTCAGCTAGTAGCTGGGTAAAAGAAGCATTTTAAATTTGTGAAGAAACAAATTGCAGTGTATCTGATATGACTATTTTATAAGTACCATACATAACACCAATTGACAATAACGGCAAAATTCAACTCTTCTTTTCGTACCATCTTTTGGTATTACTGTACCTCACAAAAAACAAAGGGCACTGGATCTTCAAATATCTTTTTGACATTAAAATACTGTAATGTACAAGTTTACCTTTGAGCGTGAGATTGAAACAACCGAGCCTGTCTCCAGATAAGGAATCTGCACCGCACTGAAGAACAACTGCTGAGGGCTGGTATGTTTCCATCACCTATTAAGAAAGGTGCCACAAACGTCAACTATTATGGCTCAGTTAACAAATAGCTTCTTAAATGAACATGAATATACAAGTATTCTTTTGTCTATATAAAATATAGAGCATTTTGCAGCATATAAGATGCACCGGTATATAGAATGAACCCCTAGATTTACTGAACCTCCCTTGTTTATTTTTTTTAATTGTTCTGTATTAAATAGAATTATTCATAGATTCCAAGCTTGACCCCAGCCTGACCTTCAACATATAGGATGCAGGATGATTTTTGAGAGAGAAAAAAAAAAAACAAAAAAAAAAAGTCTCGTAAACCGTAAAATACTGTACTGATGTTAATAAAATAACATCTGAACTCGAACATAGTAGATAATCACTTATTTGGCATTTAACATTATTTGGTGATGTTTTCCGCACATAAGAGTAAATTAAGATGGAGGAACAACTCACCTTGGTGAGGATAGGCACAAAAATACTTTCATAACTTTCATCATCGATGCCATCTCTCAGGGGAAAATTGACTGCATAATATTTTCCTTTGCCTGCACCAATATCCTGAAATGCAACAATAGTTTCACAACAAACTGATTTTTCCATTGATATGCAGTAGTTAAATGATAGAAATACTGTGCTGTGTGTTAATTCTAACACGATGACCACCAAGACTCCCTTGTCGGCATCATGGTATAATTGCGTCTGATGATGAATTAGGCACTTGTGAAACACATGGCTATTTTACTGAAGAAACATTTTGCCAACCATTGACTTCCTCAGTCCAGTAAAGAGAAGAATAGTTGAAGATCAGGATTACGAGGTTATCAGTCCCTCAGCCTGGAGTTGATATGATCAGTCTATCAATCTTGATAAAAGTACAGCGTATGTGCAAAGATACCCACGTACTGCACATGTGTAATTCATCATCCTGTCAAGTTCTCTGAACTATTTATCTACATTAACATTCTGGTATGGTAACAAGCATCGTAACACAGTGCAGTGGAACCTTGGTACTCAAACAATTCGTTCCAGAAAGCTATTCGAGGGCCGATCTGTTCGAGTACCTAACGATTTTTTCTCGGCTAATTTTCTTTTTGGCTGGCTGTTATCACTAATCTTCGTAGGCCCCATGGTGACTTGTTTATACAAATATAAAAAAAAACACCAAAAAATGCAAAGAAACATGAAATAGTTTACGGCGAAGTTCTGGCAGGTCTTGTTTGTTTGGTCGAGAGCAGAGTAAACAATCTACTACCGAGCGATTTTTTTACCAAACAAAGTGTTTGAATACCAAATGGTTCAAGTACTGAGGTTCCACTGTATTACAGTCGTTACTCTATTGCAGCATCGGAAAAAAACCTTACTGATTGAAGCCTTGCAACACTTACTCTAAGATCACCAGTTCCTGGGAAATATTCTCCATATTTGTGGAAGGATACAGTCATTACTCTGTCAGTAGTGTAGAAAGCTTCTTCAACACCATCACCATGATGAATATCAATATCAATGTAGAGGACTCTCTGGTGGTACTTGAGTAGTTCTAGGATGGCTAAAACAATATCATTGACGTAGCAGAATCCTGAAGCTTCACTCTGTTCGAAGGAAAAATATAATTCAGTACTTGTAATATGGCATATACTGTACTGCATAATACTGAGAAACAATGAGTCACTAATACCATGGATGGAACACTTCACAAAACAATTGCACGTACAGTGGAACCTCAAAAATCGAACTGCTCCCAACACAACCAATTATGTAAGTGTATTTTTGTAAGTGCTTTTGTGAGTGTATTTTTGAGGGTCTGAAATGGACTAATCTAATTTACATTATTCCTTATGGGAATAAATTCATTCGGTAAAGGCACTCAAACAGCCTTCTGGACCGAAGAAAGTTCGATATTTGAGGTTCCACTGTACGACATAAAATTTATGATGAAACATCATTACTAATTTCATCTAAGTGAACTGTGAATTGCATAGTATTGTAATAAAAAGGCACAATACCACGACTGGAACAATACACAAATAAGCCGCACATAAGAGAAAAACTTACAACAATGTTTCGGTCCAACTTGGACCACTGGTAAGTTATTCGTCTAAGTCGGACCAAAACATCGTAATAAGTTTCTCCTATGTGTGGGTTGTTTATCACTGTACAGCCTACATATGTGGTTATGTATGACAAATGTGTAACAACAGTACAGTGGACCCCCGCTTAACGATCACCTCCAAATGCGACCAATTATGTAAGTGTATTTACGCAAGTGCGTTTGTACGTGTATGTTTGGGGGTCTGAAATGGACTAATCTACTTCACAATATTCCTTATGGGAAAAAATTCGGTCAGTACTGGCACCTGAACATACTACTGGAATGAAAAAAGTTTGTTAACCGGGGGTCCACTGTACTCTTAAATCCTTAGCAGAATCATTGAATTTGATTTTTTCCAATATGTCCGAAAAATTCTGAGCTTGGTTATTTTTTTTTTTTTTTCAACAAGTCGGCCGTCTCCCACCGAGGCAGGGTGACCCAAAAAGAAAATCCCCCAAAAGAAATTATACTTTCATCATCATTCAACACTTTCACCTCACTCACATATAATCACTGTTTTTGCAGAGGTATGTAGTAGGTTGGTAGACAGCAACCACCCAGGGAGGTACTACCGTCCTGCCAAGTGAGTGTAAAACGAAAGCCTGTAATTGTTTTACATGATGGTATGATTACTGGTGTCTTCTGTCTGTCTCAAATATGCAAGATTACAGGTACATCTTGCTACTTCTACTTACACTTAGGTCACACTACACATACATGTACACGTTTATTTATACATACAGTACTCATCTGAGTTTTCTTTAATTTTATCTTAGTTCTTGTTCTTATTACTCTTCCTTTTATATCCATGGGGAAGTGGAATAAAAATCTTTCCTCTGTAAGTCATGCATGTTGTAAAAGTCAACTAAAATGCCGGGAACAATGGGCTAGTAACCCCTTTAATAATTACTAAAAAGAACAAGCACAGCTGGGTTATACACCTACCATCCGGTAGGTCGTAAGTCGAAACGGTCGTAAGTCGAAACGGTCGTAAGTCGAAACGGTCGTAAGTCGAACTTTACTACTGAATATCAACAAAACATTTTTGTAATGACTTCATTTTATTGTTTTATTTTGGTATTTCATGTTTTACTTTACTTTTAATGTTGTTAGTACTATTTTATACTGTAAGGTTTAGGATAAACACTGTGTACAACACAAATACTTGTTTATTTCCCAGAAATTTGGCATAAAAAACACGGTCGTAAGTCGAGCAGGTCGTAAGTCGGATGGTAGGTGTATATGGTTATAATTCGAACAATAGTTCACATTAATGTCACTACTCAACCATTTTAATCAGTGCACTGAATATGTACACACAATACCTAAAACAACTACGTATAGACACATACAAACGTAGGCAGTTCTCTCATTACCTTTTTGGCGTGATGAAGACCACCAGCCCAGTTGACGGCGATATCACATGCTTGTTTATTTAACTTGACAGCTCCGGCTATAGAACCACCAGACGACAGTTGGCAAAACTCGTATAGGCCATCGAAGACTGGACAGTCCTCTCCAACATTGACTGGAAAATACCAAGAAAAATCAATTATTGAATTTTTTTTCTCAAAGCTTCACAATAAAAAAAATATGTACATGGAAATTTAGCAGCAAGTTCAAGAAACTTGGAAGAGGAGTAATACATACAGTAAATAATGGATAATATTGCTAACTAATGACCAGAGAGAATATCCACTTTCAGCTAGTGGAAAGATGAGTAGTGGGGGGGTTGAAGAGGGTTGGAATAGTTTTAAAAATGCAGTATTAGAATGTGGGGCAGAAGTTTGTGGTTATAGGAGGGTGGGGGCAGGAGGAAAGAGGAGTGATTGGTGGAATGATGAAGTAAAGGGTGTGATAAAAGAGAAAAAGGTAGCTTATGAGAGGTTTTTACAAAGCAGAAGTGTTATAAGAAGAGCAGAGTATATGGAGAGTAAAAGAAAGGTAAAGAGAGTGGTGAGAGAGTGCAAAAGGAGAGCAGATGATAGAGTGGGAGAGGCACTGTCAAGAAATTTTAATGAAAATAAGAAAAAATTTTGGAGTGATTTAAAACAAGTTAAGAAAGCCTAGGGAAAATATGGATTTGTCAGTTAAAAACAGAGTAGGGGAGTTAGTAGATGGGGAGAGTGAGGTATTGGTAGATGGCGAGAATATTTTGAGGAACTTTTAAATGTTAAGGAAGAAACAGAGGCAGTAATTTCATGCACTGGTCAGGGAGGTATACCATCTTTTAGGAGTGAAGAAGAGCAGAATGTAAGTGTGGGGGAGGTACGTGAGGCATTACGTAAAATGAAAGGGGGTAAAGCAGCTGGAACTGATGGGATCATGACAGAAATGTTAAAAGCAGGGGGGGATATAGTGTTGGAGTGGTTGGTACTTTTGTTTAATAAATGTATGAAAGAGGGGAAGGTACCTAGGATTGGCAGAGAGCATGTATAGTCCCTTTATATAAAGGGAAAGGGGACAAAAGAGACTGTAAAAATTATAGAGGAATAAGCTTACTGAGTATACCAGGAAAAGTGTACGGTAGGGTTATAATTGAAAGAATTAGAGGTAAGACAGAATGTAGAATTGCGGATGAGCAAGGAGGTTTTAGAGTGGGTAGGGGATGTGTAGATCAGGTGTTTACATTGAAGCATATATGTGAACAGTATTTAGATAAAGATAGGGAAGTTTTTATTGCATTTATGGATTTAGAAAAGGCATATGATAGAGTGGATAGAGGAGCAATGTGGCAGATGTTGCAAGTATATGGAATAGGTGGTAAAGTTATTAAATGCTGTAAAGAGTTTTTATGAGGATAGTGAGGCTCAGGTTAGGGTGTGTAGAAGAGAGGGAGACTACTTCCCGGTAAAAGTAGGTCTTAGACAGGGATGTGTAATGTCACCATGGTTGTTTAATATATTTATAGATGGGTTGTAAAGGAAGTAAATGCTAGGGTGTTTGGGAGAGGGTGGGATTAAAATTATGGGAATCAATTCAAAATGGGAATTGACACAGTTACTTTTTGCTGATGATACTGTGCTTATGGGAGATTCTAAAGAAAAATTGCAAAGGTTAGTGGATGAGTTTGGGAATGTGTGTAAAGGTAGAAAGTTGAAAGTGAACATAGAAAAGAGTAAGGTGATGAGGGTGTCAAATGATTTAGATAAAGAAAAATTGGATATCAAATTGGGGAGGAGGAGTATGGAAGAAGTGAATGTTTTCAGATACTTGGGAGTTGACGTGTCGGCGGATGGATTTATGAAGGATGAGGTTAATCATAGAATTGATGAGGGAAAAAAGGTGAGTGGTGCGTTGAGGTATATGTGGAGTCAAAAAACGTTATCTATGGAGGCAAAGAAGGGAATGTATGAAAGTATAGTAGTACCAACACTCTTATATGGGTGTGAAGCTTGGGTGGTAAATGCAGCAGCGAGGAGACGGTTGGAGGCAGCGGAGATGTCCTGTTTAAGGGCAATTGTGTGGTGTAAATATTATGCAGAAAATTCGGAGTGTGGAAATTAGGAGAAGGTGTGGAGTTAATAAAAGTATTAGTCAGAGGGCAGAAGAGGGGTTGTTGAGGTGGTTTGGTCATTTAGAGAGAATGGATCACAGTAGAATGACATGGAAAGCATATAAATCTATAGGGGAAGGAAGGCGGGGTAGGGGTCGTCCTCGAAAGGGTTGGAGAGAGGGGGTAAAGGAGGTTTTGTGGGTTAAGGGGCTTGGACTTCCAGCAAGCGTGCGTGAGCGTGTTAGATAGGAGTGAATGGAGACGAATGGTACTTGGGACCTGACGATCTGTTGGAGTGTGAGCAGGGTAATATTTAGTGAAGGGATTCAGGGAAACCGGTTATTTTCATATAGTCGGACTTGAGTCCTGGAAATGGGAAGTACAATGCCTGCACTTTAAAGGAGGGGTTTGGGATATTGGCAGTTTGGAGGGATATGTTGTGTATCTTTATATGTGTATGCTTCTAGACTGTTGTATTCTGAGCACCTCTGCAAAAACAGTGATAATGTGCGAGTGTGGTGAAAGTGTTGAATGATGATGAAAGTATTTTCTTTTTGGGGATTTTCTTTCTTTTTTGGGTCACCCTGCCTCGGTGGGAGACGGCCGACTTGTTGGAAAAAAAAAAAAAAAAAAAAAAAAAAAAAATAATAATAATAAATAATAATAATAATAATAAATAATATTGGTAAATAGGAAGTACAATGCCTGCACTTTAAAGGAGGTGTCTGGAATATTGGCAGTTTGGAGGGACGTCTAAATTGTCATATCTGAACGCCTCTGCAAAGACAGTGATTATGTGAGAGTGATGGTGAAAGTGTTGATGATAGGTTTTTTTCTTTTGGGTCACCTGCCTCAGTGGGACCTTTGATGTGCTTCGAGTCTTTCTCCTCCCTGAGCCCGGCCATGGGCCAGGCTTGTCTTGTGCTTGTCTGGTCAGTCAGGTTGTTGTTGTTGGAGATCTGCTGATCCACGTATCCATCACAGCCTGGCTGATCTCGCACCTGGTGAAGATACTTGTTCAGTTTCCTCTTGAAGACTTCTACACTTGTTTCAGTAACGTTTCCATTATCTTCTGGTAAAACATTGAATAATCTGCGACCACGGATGTTGATAGTGTTATCTTATTGTGTCCACGGCACCCCTGCTTTTCGCTGCTTTTTTTTTCACACTTTCTCCCGTATCTCTCACTCCAGTATGTTACGTCTCTCTCTCCTGTATGATCTATAATGGCCATACAGCATTTAGGGAATGTGATTACATTTCTGATCTGAGTTAAGGGAGAGGAGCTCTGGTTCCTTGGATGAAAAGCCCTTCACCAGCATCATGGCAGCCACTCTCCCCATGAGGGTTATGCTACTGCTGCTTGCGCTCTCTATCCACGCTTTGCACAACGCACCTGACATAATGCTTACCAGAAGGCTGTTTCTAGGGGTCAACACCCCACCTAACAACCCAACAGCTTGATCCCAGACCAGGCCTCCTGGTGGATCAAGGCATGATCCCCTGGGCTGTTATTGCTGGCCTATAACTAGATCTCTTCACTCTCTTTCCTTTTCCCCTTACATCTGTATATTCCTTTCTGGCTTTTAAGAATCTCACATCAACATTCTTACTAACATCAGCATGATTCATATATTGTACTGGTTTCGAATTTGTTTTCTTTTTTTTTACCTTCACATGGCTCTCCAATGCCTTCCATTAAACCACTACAGTATTTTGTCTATCATCTTTCCGTACCTTTGATGAGTTTCAAGAGCTTTTCTAATCCCAGAGCCCAGCCATAGGCCAGGCTCAAAATCAACATTTTGGTACCATTTCCTTGTATTATTGCATAAAGAATGCTTACCTAGCTCTATGTACACATCCAGTTGTGACAATACTGTATTGATTATGAGGGTTCTATTGCATTATTTTAATCAGGAGGAAGTGCTAAACCCATAGGGGGTCACACAGTGCCCAAGAAATGGGAGGCATTCAGCTGTGATGCAGGGAATGGGGGAAGATAAATTCTTTAGATCAATAGACCTTCACCAGCATCAATGTTCCTTTTATCCTGTTAGCCCATGATTCAACCAGGCTGTATCAACATCCACCGTCCCAGATTATTCAATATCTTACCAGAAGATGTTGAAACACTGCTGGAACAAGTGTAAAAGTCTTCAATGCTTGATAAGTATCTTCACCAGGTGCCAGGCTGTGATGTACATGTGGGCCAGCCGAACACCAGCACCAGACAAGCCCAGCTGACCGGGCCAGCACCAGACGAAGCCCGGCTGACCGGGCCAACACCAGACGAGCCCGGCTGACCGGGCCAGCACCAGATGAGCCCGGCTGACCGGGCCAGCACCAGACGAGCCCGGCTGACCGGGCCAGCACCAGACGAGCCCGGCTGACCGGGCCAGCACCAGACGAGCCCAGCTGACCGGGCCAGCACCAGACGAGCCTGGCCAGGCTCCAGGATTAGAAAAGAATCTAGGAACTCATCAAAGGCATATCCAAGGTAAAACCCAGAGTTCCACAAAAGCTGGCCAATCTATCTCTAAGTTTGAGACTTATGACTGCTACTCACACTTCTGCATCTGCTTGTTGTACTCGTTCATGTTATCTGGTCGGATGGAGCGGATAAATCTGATGTAGTCATCACTATGGAACTTTGTCATCTCATCTTGTGTAGCTTTATGTGGTCTCTGAAGACGAGCAATAATTGGTTACCAACACTACTTACACACTATGATATAAAGCATATTTCTCTTTTAACACATTGGCTGTTTCCCACTGAAGTAGGGTGACCCGAAAAAAGAAAAAAACACTTTCATTATCACTCACTCCATCACTGTCTTGCCAGAGGTGTGTCACTACTATAGTTTACAAAACTGCAACATATCTCCACCCTTCCTCCAGAGTGCAGGCACTGTATTTCCCACCTCCAGGACTCAAGTCTGACTAACCAGTTTCCCTAAGTCCCTTCATAAGTGTTACTTTGCTCATGCTCCAACAGCACGTCATCATAAAAACTATATTCTAGTCCCCCAAAAAATCACCATCATAAAAATCCTTAATAAATATTAACAACACAGCTTTGCTGCTGTAGCTATAAACAGGTACTTGCAAAACTCTATGAGGTGTATAATACTCAACCAATTTAAAAGAAATGTCGATGGGTTAGGCAAATATTCTGTTAGTGAGATGGATTGTGAAGGACCTACCTAGTATGGGCCAACAGGCCTTCCACAGTGTTCCTCCTTTCTTATGTTCTTAACTCTCTCAATCCCCGTGTAAATGTTCCACATGTCTCTTGCAAAGTATGTATTCTGAAATTGTACAAATATAGGTGTACAGGAGGGCCCCTGCATATTTGGCCTAAATACTTAAGAGATAGGCGAGTTAGCAAGATCGGAGTCCTGGAAGTCGGAAGTACAGGGCCTACACAATGAAGGATAGGAGAGATTATAAAAGTAAGAGGATAATTTGACCCATGATGTCTGTAAATTTCTGGCAAGACAGCTACTGAACGAATGACAAGAGAATATTTCCTTTTCTATAATCACCCTATCTGGTGGGAGAACCAATTTAGGAAAAATAAAGAGTACCAATAAAAACGAAAATAATAATGGTACTCTGTGATGGTAATAATAATAATAATCATAATAATAATTAAACTCACATAAATCTCCATTTTTCTGTATAATCCATAGTTTAGAAGTAGATTGTGTGTCATACGAATTCTATGTGGCTTCATAGGATGACCTTGACCGTAGTAGTAGTTGCCAATGTCACCTGGAAAATTTTTAGAATATAGTAAGTGCATGCATAAATGAGAAGTAGAATTTATTACAAAATTTATGTGATTAGAAGGATATATATTGCAGTTTTTGAACTGTAGTGTTGGCACACCTCTGGCAAGACAGTGATGGAGCGAGTGATGGCGAAAGTGTTTCTTCGTCTATTTTGAGTCACCCGGCCTCAATGGGAAATGACTGATGTGACAATAAAAGATCATGTAATTGTGATTACTTTGTTGTGTGTGTATAGAGAAAAGGATAGCAACAAGAGGGAGCTGATAGGGAAGATGAAGAGAGAACTGGAGGGAGAGATGAAGGAAGAAAAAATGGGAGGGAGAGGAAAGTGGAAGAGGGGGAGTTGGAAGATATGGAATACGCAGACGGGAACGACAGGGAACAGAGGGCAATGGGAACGACAGGGAACAGAGGGCAATGGGAACGACAGGGAACAGAGGGCAATGGGAACGACAGGGAACAGAGGGCAATGGGAACGACAGGGAACAGAGGGCAATGGGAACGACAGGGAACAGAGGGCAATGGAAGACAGGAACAAGGAATGGACGAAGGGAACAGAGGGCAATGGGAACGACAGGGAACAGAGGGCAATGGGAACGACAGGGAACAGAGGGCAATGGGAACGACAGGGAACAGAGGGCAATGGGAACGACAGGGAACAGAGGGCAATGGGAATGACAGGGAACAGTGGAAGATGGGAAAGATTGGGAACAGAAGATAGGAAACATAGGCGAGAGAGGGATATTTACCTGTGATGTCTCCTCTACTACTGAGAGGGAAGAGGTGACAAAGGAGGGAGGGAAGAAGTGACAAAGGAGGTAGGAAAGAGGTGACAAAGCAAGGAGGGAAGAGGTGACAAAGGAAGGAGGGAAGAGGTGACATAGGAAGGAGGGAAGAGGTGACATAGGAAGGAGGGAAGAGGTGACATAGGAAGGAGGGAAGAGGTGACATAGGAAGGAGTGAAGAGGTGACAAAGCAGGGAGGGAAGAGGTGACAAAGAGAAGAGGGGACAAAAGTGGAAGAGAGAAATTAAAAAAGATGAAAGGGGGATAGCTGTAGATGAGTCCAGAGGAATAAGAAAGGAAAATAAAAAGGGGAGAGGAGAGGAAGAGATGAAAGGAAGAAAATTAAAGGGAGGAGACGAAAGGGAAAGGGTAAAAATACAAGATAGGGAGAATATGAGAGGCAGAGATTAGAGAAGAGGCAGTGAAAGGGAATTAGAAAAGATTAAAACACACATATGTACCTATTGATGGTTCCAGGGGTGATGGTCCCAGTGACCCATTCTTAAACCACTCCCCATGAATTAGAAAGGATATTAATACAGGAGCACCCCACTTATACAGTAGGTTAGTTTCCAGGCTACTGCTGTAAAGCAAAAATCACCAAAACTGATACACTGTAAAATGGGGCCTGCCTTTATACGTATAACCAAAATGAAAGGTACTGTATTGAGAAACATGCAGTGTACACAAACTTTAAGTATTAGTTTACGAGAGCTACCCGCCATCTTGTACAGTCGGCCCAAAATGCACCACATGCTAGTGGCTTTTTTTTTTTTATGCCTAACAATATTTTATTAAATGTAAACTACATTGCCTGTATACTGCAGAACAGAAATAAATTTATTATTAATCAGATAAAGAGCCACCATCAATCCTGCCAGAATGCAAAAAATTTTAACAACCTTCCATTTCACTCACACGAGGGTAGCACAGTATCTCCTGGATGGTGAACTGTTTTGAGTTCTGTCCCCATAGTCAAGCCTGAGGCCAGGTATTTCCCTGCTGACTGCCTGGTTAACCAGGCTGTTGGTGCTAGTGGCCCACAGCTCCACACAGCTATCATTAACCCTGTTGATCCAGCACTTGTAGCAGGAGGCTGTCCGACTCCTTCGTGAAAACTTACGACACTATTTCTGATATTGGCTGATACTACTATATTGATTCCCAATTGTGGATGATGGCACAGCATCCATGGGGCCCTATTCTTTTCTAAATTTATTCCACACTATCAACCATATCTTCCACTACAGTTAAGCTGTGTAAAAGTTAGGGACCAGATCCTCAAATACCTTTTCATTATTATTATTATAATCAAAAAAGAAGCGCTAAGCCACAAGGACTATACAGCTCAAATACCTTTTCAGTAAATCCTCACATATAGCAACACTACAGTGACTGCGTAAATGGTACTTAAAAAGTCCATCGAAAATTGCAGTACATAAAAAGGCTTGGATAATTCACTCCATAAGCATGATACATAATACACAAATACAATAATCATATATAGTGTAAATTACCCTCCAGGATAACCCAAGAAGTCAGTGACTTATTTCCATTGTGGTCCGGAGATCTTTCCCAGGATGCGACCCACAACAGTTAACTAACTCCCAAGTACATACCTATGTACTGGTGGGTGAAGATTATTGTTATAATCAAGGGGAAGCACTAAACCTGGAGGATTATACAGCGCCTGGGGGAGGGGATGAGGAAGGTATTCAGGTTTAATTTGAGGAACTGGAGCAGAGATCAAATTCCCTAGATCAAGAGCCCCTCACCAGCATCAAGGAACCTTACTTGAGGGGCTGGTGGGTGAAGAGAGGCAGCAGGTGTTATAAAACTTGCCAGCGAGTCTCACCACACCCAGGATGCAACTGGGTTCTTTCACTGTGAGCTGAACACTACTGCTGAGCTATGAGGCAATATTCCTTCAAGGGAGGTTCCTTGATGCTGCTAAGGGGTTCTTGATCCAAGGAACTGGACCATGCTTCCCATCCTTCAATTAAACCTGAATGCCTCCTAAGCAATGCATGACCCCTATGGGTTTAGTGCTCCCCAAGAATGCAACAATATTCTTTTTTGAAGACACTGGTCATCTCCCACATAATTTATTAGTAGGGTAGGCCTTAGGCCTTATCTTAACACATTGCTAGCACACTCAGCTCACACACTCAGGCCCAGGGTTTGATCCCCAGTATGGGTGAAAACAATAGGACGCTGTCCATGTTTACCTAGCAATAAGTCGGTACCCGAGTGTTAGTCAACTAGTGCGGGTCGCATCCTGGGAACAAAATTGACCTAATTTTCCCAAAATGCTCTGCATAACAAGAGGGTTTTGTGTGCGAGGGGCTTGGACTTCCAGCAAGCGTGCATGAGCATATTTGATAGGAGTGAATGGAGACAAATGGTTTTCAATACTTGACGTTGATAAATTAGACACATGTGCAACTCTTGGGTATCTTTATTGAGGAAACGTTTCGCCACACAGTGGCTTCATCGGTCCATACAAAGGAGAATCTTGAAGAACAGGAGGAGAATGAGGTAATCAGTCCCTCAACCTTGAGTCGATGTGGTCAGTCCATCAATCTTGAATATTCAAAATTGATGGACTGACCACATCGACTCAAGGTTGAGGGACTGATTACCTCATTCTCCTCCTATTCTTCAAGATTCTCCTTTGTATGGACCGATGAAGCCACTGTGTGGCGAAACGTTTCCTCAATAAAGATACCCAAGAGTTGCACATGTGTCTAATTTATCAACATGTCGGTTCTCTGAACCATTCATCTACAATACTTGACGTGCTGTTGGAGTGTGAGCAAAGTAACATTTATGAAGAGATTCAGGGAAACCAGCAGGCTGGACTTGAGTCCTGGAGATGGGAAGTACAGTGTCTGCACTCTGAAGGACGGGTGTTAATGTTGCAGTTTTATAACTGTAGAGTAAGTACACCTCTGGCAAGACAGTGATGGAGAGAATGATGAAAGTTTTTCTTTTTCGGGCCACCCTGCCTTGGTGGGAATCAGTCGACGTTAATAAAAAAAAAGGGAGGGGGGGGAGCTTTCTATAGTAGTATGTCATTGATGTCAGCTATGGTCTGTATACCTTAAACATGTACTTGTAGAAATAAAGATTATCATCAGTATAGTATCATATTTAACTGACTTTTCTGGGGGTGTTATTCTGGAATGTAATTTACACAATGATAATTATATTTATATCAACCTGAACTTTAAACTTTCCTCAAAAGCCTAGGTTAAGTTATCATTACATTAATATTTTCTCTACAACATATATACTCTGTATATTAACCAATACAGTGGACCCCCGCATAACGATTACCTCCGAATGCGACCAATTATGTAAGTGTATTTATGTAAGTGCGTTTGTTCGTGTATGTTTGGGGGTCTGAAATGGACTAATCTACTTCACAATATTCCTTATGGGAACAAATTCGGTCAGTACTGGCACCTGAACATACTACTGGAGTGAAAAAATATCGTTAACCGGGGGTCCACTGTAGTAACTTGATCAATGTAAATTTATAAGGATTTTATTGGCATTATTAACACTGGAGGATTAGTAACCCAGAACAACCCAAGAAAGCCAGGCAACGTGGCGGCTTATTAGTAACCCAGAACAACCCAAGAAAGCCAGGCAACGTGGCGGCTTATTAGTAACCCAGAACAACCCAAGAAAGCCAGGCAACATGGCGGCTTATTAGTAACCCAGAACAACCCAAGAAAGCCAGGCAACGTGGTGGCTTATTAGTAACCCAGAACAACCCAAGAAAGCCAGGCAACGTGGCGGCTTATTGTACCCAGATCAACCCAAGAAAGCCAGCAACGTGGCGGCTTATAGTAACCACTGACACCAAGAAAGCCAGGCAACGTGGCGGTTATAGTAACAGAACCCAAAACAGCCAGGCAAAGTTGGGTTATTAGTAAACCAGAACAACCAAGAAAGACAGGCAACGTGGCGGCTTATTAGTAACCCAGAACAACCAAGAAAGCCAGGCAACGTGGCGGCTTATTAGTAACCCAGAACAACCCAAGAAAGCCAGGCACGTGGTGGCTTATTAGTAACCCAGAACAACCCAAGAAAGCAGGCAACGTGGCGGCTTATTAGTAACCCAGAACAACCCAAGAAAGCCAGGCAACGTGGCGGCTTATTAGTAACCAGAACAACCCAAGAAAGCCAGGCAACGTGGCGGCTTATTAGTAACCCAGAACAACCCAAGAAAGCCAGGCAACGTGGCGGCTTATTAGTAACCCAGAACAACCCAAGAAAGCCAGGCAACGTGGCGGCTTATTAGTAACCCAGAACAACCCAAGAAAGCCAGGCAACGTGGCGGCTTATTTCCACTGAGGTCCTCCCCCAGGATGCCACCCACAAGAGCCTGACACTCAGGTACCTACTGACTGCTAGGTGAACAGTGACAGCAGGTGTAAGGTGACTAACATACATGTACTTATTATTGGTAGGTGAAAATGAAGCAATTTAGAGAGCAGTGAAAATGTACAGCAGTGACAGAAAAAAAGCAGTGAAGAGAGAATAATGAACAGATCACTGAAGAGGCAGCAGTGAGATCATTGATGAGGCAGCAGTGAGACCATTGATGAGGCAGCAGTGAGATCATTGATGAGGCAGCAGTGAGACCATTGATGAGGCAGCAGTGAGATCATTGATGAGGCAGCAGTGAGATCATTGATGAGGCAGCAGTGAGATCATTCAAGAGGCAGCAGTGAGATCACTGAAGAAGCAGCAGTGAGATCACTGAAGAGGCAGCAGTGAGATCATTGAAGAGGCAGCAGTGAGATCATTGATGAGGCAGCAGTGAGATCATTCAAAAGGCAGCAGTGAGATCACTGAAGAAGCAGCAGTGAGATCACTGAAGAGGCAGCAGTGAGTCATTGAAGAGGCAGCAGTGAGATCATTGATGAGGCAGCAGTGAGATCATTCAAGAGGCAGCAGTGAGATCACTGAAGAAGCAGCAGTGAGATCACTGAAGAGGCAGCAGTGAGATCATTGAAGAAGCAGCAGTGAGATCACTGAAGAGGCAGCAGTGAGATCACTGAAGAGGCAGCAGTGAGATCATTGAAGAGGCAGCAGTGAGATCACTGAAGAGGCAGCAGTGAGATCACTGAAGAGGCAGCAGTGAGATCACTGAAGAGGCAGCAGTGAGATCACTGAAGAGGCAGCAGTGAGATCACTGAAGAGGCAGCAGTGAGATCATTGAAGAGGCAGCAGTGAGATCACTGAAGAGGCAGCAGTGAGATCACTGAAGAGGCAGCAGTGAGATCATTCAAGAGGCAGCAGTGAGATCATTCAAGAGGCAGCAGTGAGATCACTGGAGAGGCAGCAGTGAGATCACTGGAGAGGCAGCAGTGAGATCATTGAAGAGGCAGCAGTGAGATCACTGAAGAGGCAGCAGTGAGATCACTGAAGAGGCAGCAGTGAGATCACTGAAGAGGCAGCAGTGAGATCATTCAAGAGGCAGCAGTGAGATCATTCAAGAGGCAGCAGTGAGATCACTGAAGAGGCAGCAGTGAGATCACTGAAGAGGCAGCAGTGAGATCACTGAAGAGGCAGCAGTGAGATCATTGAAGAGGCAGCAGTGAGATCACTGAAGAGGCAGCAGTGAGATCACTGAAGAGGCAGCAGTGAGATCATTGAAGAGGCAGCAGTGAGATCACTGAAGAGGCAGCAGTGAGATCATTGAAGAGGCAGCAGTGAGATCACTGAAGAGGCAGCAGTGAGATCATTCAAGAGGCAGCAGTGAGATCATTCAAGAGGCAGCAGTGAGATCACTGGAGAGGCAGCAGTGAGATCACTGGAGAGGCAGCAGTGAGATCACTGAAGAGGCAGCAGTGAGATCACTGAAGAGGCAGCAGAAACCACTGAAGAGGCAGCAGTGAGATCATTGACGAGGCAGCAGTGAGATCATTCAAGAGGCAGCAGTGAGATCATTCAAGAGGCAGCAGTGACAAGAGATCACTGGAGGGCAGCACTGAGACCAGAGCACTGAGACCAGAGCACTGAGCCCATAGCACTGAGCACTGAGCCCATAGCACTGAGCGCAGAGCACTGAGACCAGAGCATTGAGCACTGAGCACTGAGACCAGAGCATTGAGCCCAGAGTACTGAGCCCATAGCACTGAGCCCAGAGCACTGAGACCAGAGCATTGAGCCCAGAGCACTGAGACCAGAGCACTGAGCACTGAGCCCATAGCACTGAGCACTGAGACCAGAGCATTGAGCCCAGAGCACTGAGACCAGAGCACTGAGCCCATAGCACTGAGCACTGAGACCAGAGCACTGAGCCCAGAGCACTGAGACCAGAGCACTGAGCACTGAGCCCAGATCACTGAGCCCAGATCACTGAGACCAGAGCACTGAGACCAGAGCACTGAGCCCATAGCACTGAGACCAGAGCACTGAGCCCAGAGCACTGAGACCAGAGCACTGAGCCCAGAGCACTGAGACCAGAGCACTGAGCACTGAGCCCATAGCACTGAGCACTGAGACCAGAGCAGAGCCCAGAGCACTGAGACCAGAGCACTGAGACCAGAGCACTGAGACCAGAGCACTGAGCCCATAGCACTGAGACCAGAGCACTGAGACCAGAGCACTGAGACCAGAGCACTGAGACCAGAGCACTGAGACCAGAGCACTGAGCCCAGAGCACTGAGCCCAGAGCACTGAGACCAGAGCATTGAGCACTGAGCCCATAGCACTGAGCACTGAGCCCAGAGCACTGAGCCCAGAGCACTGAGACCAGAGCACTGAGACCAGAGCACTGAGCCCATAGCACTGAGCCCAGAGCACTGAGACCAGAGCATTGAGCACTGAGCCCATAGCACTGAGCACTGAGCCCAGAGCACTGAGCCCAGAGCACTGAGACCAGAGCACTGAGCCCATAGCACTGAGCACTGAGCCCAGAGCACTGAGCCCAGGGCACTGAGACCAGAGCACTGAGCACTGAGCCCATAGCACTGAGACCAGAGCACTGAGCACTGAGCCCATAGCACTGAGCACTGAGCCCAGAGCACTGAGCCCAGAGCACAGAGCACAGAGAGAAGGGAGGGAAGAGAAGAGAGAAGGGAGGGAAGAGAAGAGAGGAGAAGGGAGGGAAGAGAAGAGAGGAGAAGGGAGGGAAGAGAAGAGAGGAGAAGGGAGGGAAGAAGAAGGGAGAGAAGAGAAGAGAGAGAAAGAGAAGAGAGGAGAAGGGAGAGAAGAGAAGAGAGAGAAGAGAAGAGAGGAGAAGGGAGGAGAAGAGAAAGAGAAGGGAGAGAGAGAGGAGAAGAGAGAGGAGAGGAGGAGGGAGAGAGAGAAGGAGTGAGAGGAGAGAGAGGAGGAAGAGAGGAGAAGGAGAGAGGAAGGGAGAGAGAGGGAAAGAGAAGAGTGAGAAAGAAGAGAGAGAAGAGAAGAGAGAAGAGAAGAGAGAGAGAAGAGAAGAGAGAGAAGAGAAGAGAGAAGAGAGCGGAGAGAAGAGAGAAAGAGGAGAGAGAGAGAGAGAGGAAGAGAGAGAGAGAGAGAGAGAGAGGAGAGAGAGAGAGAAGAGAGAGAGAAAGAGAGAGAAGGAGAGAGAGAGAGAGAGAGAGAGAAGAGAGAGAGAAGAGGAGAGAAGAAGAGAGAGAAGGAGAGAGAGAGAAGGGGAGAGAGAGGAGGAGAAGGAGGAGAGAGAGAAGAGAGAGGAGAGAAGAGGAAGGAGAGAGAGAAGAGAGAGAGAGAGAAGAGAGAGAAGAGAGAGAAGAGAGAGAGAGAGGAGAGAGAAGAGGAGAGGAAGAGAGAGAGAGGAAGAGAGAGAGGAAGAGAGAGAAGAGAGAGAAGAAGAGAAGGAGGAGAGAGAGGAGAGAAGAGAGAGAGAGAAGAGAGAGAGGAGAGAGAGAAGAGGAGAGAGAGAGAGAGAGAGAGAGAAGAGGAGGAAGAGAAGAGAGAGAAGAGAGGAGAGAAGAGAGAGAGAAAGAGAGAGAAGAGAGAGAGAGAAGAGAGAGAAGAGAGAAGAGAGAGAAGAGGAGAGAGAAAGAGAAGAGAGAGAAGAGAGAGAAGAGAGAGAGAAGAGAAGAGAGAGAGAGAGAGAGAGAGAGAGAAGAGAGAGAAGAGAGAGGAGAGAGAGAGAGAGAGAGAAGAGAAGAAGGAAGAAGAGAGAAAAGAGAGAGAGAGGAGGAGAGAGAGAGAGAAGAGAGAGAGAGAGAGAGAGAGAGAAGAAGAGAAGAGAGAGAGAGAGAAGAGGAGAGAGAGGAGAGAAGAGAAGAGAGAGAGAGAAGAGAGAGAGAGAAGAGAAGAGAGAGAAGAGAGAAGAGGGAGAAGAGAAGAGAGAAGAGAGAGAGGAGAGAGAAGAGAAGAGAGAGAAGAGAGGAGAGAAGAGAGAAGAGAGAGAGAGAGAAGAGAGGAGAGAGAGAGAAGGAAGGAGAGAGAAGGAGGAAGAGGAGAGGAGGAGAGAGAGAGGAGGAGAAGAGAGAGGAGATAAAGAGAGAGAAGAGAAGAGAGAGAAGAGAGAGAGAGGAGATAAAGAGAGAAGAGAGAGAGAGATAATTCAAACACGTAACAACTACGGTACAAACTAACTATCCATCCCACCATACAAACTTTACAATACTCGTCAATAACATTCAACAACTTATTAAACAGTCAGGTAAGAGTGACAGTCCAGCCAACCGGCGCCACAATGATCAAAAACCATCATTAAATCCAGTCATTATTACCTAAATTAATTTAATATAAGAGGAGTAATTACTGATTGTTTGGTCAAGATACCCGCGCTCGTCCACTCTCACACACTTAACACGAATTAACTCAGTTTTGTGGCAATATGGAGACGTAATGGCATTCCAAATATACTTACTGTCATAGTAGTAGCAAACTTTCTTTCTGTTATGAGGAGTAGTCGACATTTTAGTCAATTAAATAGAGAGAAGGAGTGCGGCACGACCTGAGCTTGGACCAGGCGTGCTGAGCATGCTGGGTAAGCTCAGAGACTAGCTATTTGCTTAACACTCACAGCTGACCGATACCTGAAGTGAGTCTACCCGCTTTCTGTACCGTACTTTTCAGGGGATTCTATTCCAGATTTACCCATATTTTATGTGACTTTCCTCTACTCCACATAACTCCTATCAACTGCAGCTTTAATCACCATTGTTAGCACTAATAAATCCCTTGACTACCAATGCAAAATTTATTCTCTCTATATAAACTATATACATTCAAGTGGTACATAAATTATATATTTTTTTTTTTTCACTGATTTTGATTTGTACGGAAGGACTATATTTTTAGGCCAGAATTTAGCTTAGCGGGTTTATTATACAACTCATTTACCTGGAATGTGTGTAAGTCGAACTATTAGGGAATTATATGACGGGTTCAGGAGCTAGGATTCAACATTCTCGTACTGTAACAGTGATGGTACAATTGCCGACAATATGTTAAGTGAAATGGCACAAGTGAAATTAATGCAACATTTAATTGTGACAACGTTTCACTCTCCAGGAAATGTGTTAGCCTTTACCGGTAACGGCTAAACAAAGCTCCTGGAGAGCGAAACATTGCCACACTAAAATGTCGCATTAGTTTCCACTAGTGTTCTTTTACCTAGCAACAGTCTAAGTCAGCAAGCTATTTACCTACCTGGAGTATACCTGGAGTGGGGTTTTCAGGGGTCAACGCCCCCGCAACCCGGTCCTTGACCAGGTTATTACTGCTGGCCCCCCGTCAGCCGACGTAGGAACCACAGCCCGGCTGGTCAGGTACTGATTTTAGATGCCTCTACAGCTCCCTCTTGAAGACAGTCAGGGGTCTTGAAATCAACCAGGGGTCTTGAAGACATCCAGGGGCCTTGAAGACAGCCATGGGGTCTTGAAGACAGCCAGGGGCCTTGAAGACAGCCATGGGGTCTTGAAGACAGCCAGGGGGTCTTGAAGATACCCAGGGGGTCTTGAAGACAGCCAGGGGGGTCTTGAAGACAGCCATGGGGTCTTGAAGACACCCAGTGGGTCTTGAAGACACCCAGGGGTCTTGAAGACACCCAGGGGTCTTGAAGGCAGCCAGGGGCCTTGAAGACAGCCATGGGGTCTTGAAGACAGCCAGGGGGTCTTGAAGACACCCAGGGGGTCTTGAAGACAGCCAGTGGGTCTTGAAGACAGCCATGGGGTCTTGAAGACACCCAGGGGGTCTTGAAGACACCCAGGGGTCTTGAAGACAGCCAAGGGGTCTTGAAGACACCCAGGAGGTCTTGAAGACAACCACGGGGGTCTTGAAGACAGCCAGGGGGGTCTTGAAGACAGCCATGGGGTCTTGAAGACACCCAGTGGGTCTTGAAGACACCCAGGGGTCTTGAAGACACCCAGGGGTCTTGAAGGCAGCCAGGGGCCTTGAAGACAGCCATGGGGTCTTGAAGACAGCCAGGGGTCTTGAAGACACCCAGGGGGTCTTGAAGACAGCCAGGGGGTCTTGAAGACAGCCATGGGGTCTTGAAGACACCCAGGGGGTCTTGAAGACACCCAGGGGTCTTGAAGACAGCCAAGGGGTCTTGAAGACACCCAGGAGGTCTTGAAGACAACCACGGGGGTCTTGAAGACAGCCAGGGGGTCTTGAAGACAGCCAGGGGGTCTTGAAGACAACCAGGGGTCTTGAAGACAGCCAGGGGTCTTGAAGGCAGCCAGGGGGTCTTGAAAACAGACAGGGGGTCTTGAAGACAGCCAGGGGGTCTTGAAGACAGCCAGGGGGTCTTGAAGACAGTCAGGGGTCTTGAAGACAGTCAGTCAGGGGTCTTGAAGACAACGAGGGATCTTGAAATCAACCAGAGGCCTTGAAGACAGTCAAGGGTCTTGAAGACAGCCAGGGGTTCTTGAAGACAGTCAGGGGTCTTGAAGACAGCCAGGGGGTCTTGAAGACAGCCAGGGGTCTTGAAGACAGCCAGGGGTCTTGAAGACAGCCAGGGAGTCTTGAAGACAGCCGGGGGTCTTGAAGACAAACAGGGGGTCTTGAAGACAGCCAGGGTGTTTTGAAGACAGCCAGGAGGTCTTGAAGACAGCCAGGGATCTTGAAATCAACCAGGGGTCTTGAAGACAGCCAGGAGTCTTGAAGACAGCCAGGGATCTTGAAATCAACCAGGTGTCTTGAAGACAACCAGGAGTCTATTGGTAATCCCACTTATGTATGCTGGGAGGCAGTTGAACAATCTTAGACCCCTGACACTGTGTTGTCTCTCAGTGTACTAGTGGCGCCCCTGCTTTTCATTGGGGGATGTTGCATCTCCTGCCAAGTCTTTTGCTTTCGTAGGGAGTGATTTCCGCGTGCAGATTTGGTACTAGTACCTCTAGCATTTCGGGGAAATTAGGTTAATTTTATCCCCAGGATGTGACCCACACCAGTCGATTAACACCCAGGTACCTGTTGTACTGCTAGGTGAACAGTGACAGCAGGTGTAAGGTAACTAGCACCCAGCTACCTACTTTACTAATAAGTGAACATGGACAAGAGTTGTCTTAAGAAAACACGTCCTAATGTTTCCAGCCGTACATGTTATGTTGTACCCTGAATGCTGAACTCTTCTCCAGGCTGAGGGACTGACCACTTCGAACACCTTATTTTCAAGGCTGATGGACTGATCACATCATCTTCGTTTCATTACCACACCTGCTGCCTCTGTATTTGACTGAAGAGGTCTACTGTACAGGCGAAACGTTTGAACAATAAAGATACTTAACTATTGCACATGTGTGTAAATCATCAGATGTAGAGATGTTAAAAAAAAGAGAAAGATAAGCGCATGGAACTACTACAGAAAGAGGAGGACACACGAGAAGTGAGCAAATAGGCCAGAAATTAATATGAAGAAGACAGTAAAGATTTATTTAAGTTTAATATCTTTATTATGCAACCCATACCCATCCTGTGGGTGGTAGTCAAACGATTACAGAGGTAAATAATGGGTCCAGGGACTGGGCCCTAAAGTTTTGATAGATTAACAAGTTATAAAGGGAATGAACTCTGGGTAATGAACTCCAGGTAGATCTGGTCACAATCATGACTAAGTTACAAAGGTAATGAACCATCTACACGTCTATACATGGCTACAGTACAGGATCAGGTAATTTGACTGAAGAAGGAGGGGGGAGAGCTCATGAATAGTGACAAGGAAGTCTGTAAAGTACTGAATACATGATTTCAAGGGGCTGGTCATGAACCAGGCCGCGGGGGCGTTGATCCCCAGAACACCCTCCAGGTATACTCCAGGTCTTGTCAGTGGAAACCGGGGAAATATCAGGAAGACTAGGGAACAGGGTGCACCCACGGGTACTGGAAGCCATCCACACAGCAGGACGTGGATACATGAAAAGCAACGAGATTTAACAAAGTGTCACCATGGATTCTTTGAGAGGAATCAAAAGAACTGACTGAACCACTAGCTACGATCTACAATAAGTCAGTAGATACGAGACAGTTACTAGAGATCCGTAAGACAGTGAATGTAGTATCTATCTATAAGAGAGGAGACAGACAAGAAGCGTTGAACACCAGACCAGTTTCTCCGGAATATATACCTGGCAAAGTAATTGAAAAATGGAAACCGTGAGAGAATTAGATCCCATGTTGTATTGTGTTGTGATCCGGGGGACTTCAGAAAGTACATACCAGATTTACTAACTTGTTAGAGGTCTATGAGAAAGTAAGAGAGGTGAGACGAGTGAGAGACAGAGAGACAGGGAGAGAGACAGAGGGTGAGATGGATTGCATTTTATTTTTAGTCTATAAGAAGACATTTAATAATATACCTCACAAGAGATTGAGTCAAAAACTAGAGGTTCAGACAGAGATAACAAGGAACGTACTCAAATGGACTTAAAGCTAACTTAAACAAAGAAGACATTCCACTTCATTTCTATAAAGTGGAGTACAGTGTATAATAGACATAGCAGTAACTGTCACGCTTAAAAACTATAGAAAGTCCCTGGCTATACAGAGCATTTCTGGCAGGCAAAGTGTCAGACAAGGACACCACCTACGACTGCTGCACCTCTCCTACCAACGGTTTATAAGCTCCTTCTCCGCACATATGCCGTATTCTATTCAAGATTGATGGACTGACCACATCGACTCAAGGTTGAGGGACTGATTACCTCATTCTCCTCCTGTTCTTCAAGATTCTCCTTTGTATGGACTGATGAAGCCACTGTGTGGCGAAACGTTTCCTCAATAAAGATACCCAAGAGTTGCACATGTGTCTAATTTATCAACATGTCGGTTCTCTGAACCATTCATCTACAAACCTCAAAAATAACATGACCTAGAGTGACCTTGAGTGACATGCTTATCTGGCGGTAAGTAGATGCCTGTGGTATTTGTGACTGGGGGTCGAGTCACAGTTCTTCCTTGTTATGACTCACAAAATCGTAATGACACGATTGCAAACAAATCATACCACGGGTGGGGCTTGAACCCGCGATCAGTCATAAAATTCCAGACCGACGCAGGTTCTGTCCCCGCCCATGGTATGGTTTCTTCCTTGTCAAGACTGTTCTTCTTACTAAGTATCATGTACCAGTTTACCTGGAGTTTACCTGGAGAGAGTTCCGGGGGTCAACGCCCCCGCGGCCCGGTCTGTGACCGGGCCTCCTGGTGGATCAGAGCCTGATCAACCAGACTGTTACTGCTGGCTGCACGCAAACCAACGTCCGAGCCACAGCCCGGCTGATCAGGAACTGACTTTAGGTGCTTGTCCAGTGCCAGCTTGAAGACTGCCAGGGGTCTGTTGGTAAGTAAGTAAGTAAGTAAGTAAATTTATTCAGGTATACACAAACACAGTTACATAGAATTATCATACATAGCAGCATATGTGTAGAGAACCTGGGATAACCCAAAAAAGTCAGACAGAGTGACTTATTTCCATTGGGGTCCTTTTACCTTATTATTAATAATATAAAGGTTATAATATTTTCTTATTATTCTAAAAGGGAAGATAACATCTTATATCATACTAAAAAGACTATTTTACTT